CTGCACCTAATAACCCAGCAATACACACGCTTTAAATCTGCAGATATGGCCTAGAGTATAATTCAGTTAAATTGTATTCCTTTTTTATATATAGTGCCAAATCACAGCAATAGTGCCCTATTGGTGTGTCATATCCCTCATGAGCAAACACTTGGTGACAGTGGGAGGGAAAAACTCCCTTTTAACAGGAAGAAACCTCAAGCAGGACGAGGCTCAGGAAGGTGCAGCCATCTGCTGGTTGGCGATTAGGGGAGGAAAATAGGACAAAACACACACTGAGCCAGAGATTGAAATTGAAATTAATCACTATGAATAAATGCAGTAGTGATGTATAAACACATAAAGAGCGAAGAAAAGGGGAGTGAAGAAGAAACACTCAGTACATCCATGAAAGCCCTGAGCAGCCTAGGTTTATCATGATGTAACTAAGGGAGGATTCAGAGTCACCTGATCCAGCCCTAAGTATATGCTTTATCAAAGATGAACGTTTTAAGCCTAATCTTAAAAGTAGAGATAGTGTCTGTCTCCTGAATCCAAACTGGGAGCTGGTTCCACAGAAGAGGAGCCTGAAAGCTGAAGACTCTGCCTCCCATTCTACTTTTAAATATGCTCTATTAGGATGATATGGTACTATGAGGTTTTTAAGATGTAAAGGCCATAAAAAGGGCATTATTGATGTTCACTAGTGCTCGAATGAAATTCTTCAAATTCACTCTACGTGTCTCTCTATGACTTTCCTCAGGTACAGAAACCATCTGGCATCTCAATATTCAGATTTCAGCACATGAGCAATGAGGGGCTACTAAAATACTACTGAAATATAAAAATTATGTTCCCATCTCTTTTGACAGCAACTTCTTTTCAAATAAAAACGAAAGATATGAAAGTACTCCCAGTAGACACATTCATGCACAGACTTAGAGACAAATCTTTGCACTATGCTCATTCCTATTCCCAAAATCACATGAAGCTACAGTGACAAAGTCCACCGGTGATAGGACAACAAACAACAGCATAGCAAACATCACTCTTTGACCTTATTAATCATCATCGCAAACACACCAGTGAGAGAATTTGTTATCTAAAATGAGTCTACATTTTTTTAGGTTGCATGTTATGTGGCATTGCTTGTGCGTGAACGCGTGTGCATAGTTGCCGCCCGTGATTTAATGACTTTAGATTTAATATGACTGCATTTCTGAGCTGATTGCATCAAGTCACTGTCTTCTGTTTACTCGTGTCTGTTTACCCTGGCAGCTTTTTTAGAAAGGAGTTGGACTGTGAAGGATCTGGCTTTCCCCATTACAGAACCTGGTGTGAACTGAATGTGAAAAATGTAGAAAAATACAAGAGACTGCTGGGAAATGTGTTTACCCAGGTAACATTTTCAACCCTTGTCCTCATTTTCACCCCCCTCCCACCTTCCCACCAGCCCAGTCAAGCTCTCCTCTCGTGTCACCCTTTACACCCATAACAAGATTCGCACTTCCTTTCTAATTTCACAATCTTCCTGGCTCAGTCTTCACACTGAACTGGCATTTTTTACTTTGTTCTTGTCAGCCTTTCATGTTTTTCTGCAACAATTTGGTCACAAGACAAATGAGAAAAAGCAGAAAAGCAGAAAAAAGTGCTGACAGATGTCCCAGAAGAAGCAGACAGAGTTTTTTTTCAAAAAAAAAGAGAGAAAGAAAAAAGTGGTAAACGGGGAGGACTGATTCACCGATACGCATATGATACTGATAATGTATATTTGTGTGTAAATGGTGTGCGTCGATGCGTGTGTGCAGACTGATCTCCTCCCACTAGATGACCATTGAACTGTCGCCCCAGTCCTCCTGCTGATGGAGATAACAGGGGGCTGAGGTCCACCTCCACGGAGACACACAGACCTCACACCTCCACCCTCCCCCTTCTCCACATGGACTCGTCCCCCACCAAGGGACTATAAAAAGTCTGTCCCCGCTGAAGTTGTTCAGTCTCGTCCAGAACTCCACCAGGTAAGAGAAGCAACTTTGCGGTACTCGCAGAACAGAATTGGAAGCCGGAGAGGACTAAGTGTCGGGGAACTTTTTGTTAGATCTAACTTGAAAAACAAAGGGAAAAAAAGAAATTCCTGGAAGTAAAATTCTTAATTCTGACCTAAAGTTTTTGTATTTTTAAGTTTGTGATTGTTCTCTTTAGCCTGAGGTAATTTTGCAGCAGTGCTTCTCCACCAAGAGCTTCTCCTGCTAATTCTATGACCGTGTTTTACAACAAAACCTGAAACAGGATTATGTAGCAGCTTAGGTCTGATCTCCTTAATCATCCTCTGTAATCTACTCAGATTACAAGTTCCTTTAATAGCTTGCTATACATTTAGTGCAAACTCATTCAGGCTAATTCAGCAATGTGTTGGGCTGTTAAGACATTCTTACTTACTAAGACTACTGAGTCTGCTTTAGGCACAGGATTCAAGCTCTGTTGGACTAATGAATTCCCACTATTCAATTGGATGTTCATTTCCTAATCATTAACTGCTATTCTGCTCTAGACCATCACCATGAAATTTGTGGCTCTAGCTCTCACTCTTCTCCTGGCTGTCGGTGAGTACTGAACGCACCCTTTCCAACCTGAGGGAAATCATTTAAAATGCAAGTGGAACTTTAGCAGATCCACTTTAACCTTTAACAGTTTTTTCCCTCTTCGCTTGCCAAAGGCTCTCAGGCCGCCTCCCTGCAGGCTGATGCACCTTCACAGCTGGACCAAATCCGGTCCGCTGTGGATGTCTACCTGACTCAGGCGAAGGACGGTGCCATCAAAGCCCTGGACCAGCTTGATGACACTCCATACCAAGAGCTCAAGTAAGGATTCTCATTCTTGTCCATCAGCCGCACTTTTTTGTAATTGGTCCATGCATTGCCAGGCGTTCGTTTAACTTCCTGCCTTAGTCAGTTTTTACACTTTGCAGTCGACATTTGGTGTGTACACTTAGCTTAACTAAAATGGCTTTGCTTTCCTATCTCTGTTCTCTCTCAGGACCACCCTGGCTCAGCGCCTGGAGGGCCTGCACACTCAGATCAAGACTTTGCAGGCTTCCGTTTCTCCTTTGACCGACAGCGTCTTTACCACAGTCTCTGAAGCCACTGCTGACTTACGTAACAGCATTGTGACTGATATCGAGGCCCTGAGAGTCGAGCTGGAACCCAAACGTGCTCAACTGAGGGAAGTCATCGAGAGACACATCGAGGACTACCGCAACCACCTCCAGCCCATCGTCAGAGAGTACCAGGCCAAGCACACAGCTGAAATGGAAGAACTGAAGACAAAGCTGGAGCCCGTTATGACTGAGCTGCGTGAGAAGATTCGCACCAATGTGGAAGAGACCAAGGCTGCGGTGACACCCATTGTAGAGAGTATTCGTGCCAGGGTTGCTACACACGTGGAACAAGCAAGGGCAGTGTTGGCTCCCTATGTTGAAGAATACAAGGAGCAGCTGAGGCATGCCTACGACCAGGCACAAAACGTCAAAGCTGAAGACCTTACTGCCCTGAAGGAGAAGATTCATCCTCTGACCGAAGACATCAAGGCAAAGCTCCAGCAAATCTTTGCAATCGTTTCCGAAACCTTCAAGAGCTAAATCCTCCCTACCCTGTTCCTATAACTAACCTCCCTTTCCTATCATGTCTAGATCCATTCCAAATTTCTCTCGATTCCTTCTTTCTTCACAAACAGACCACTTCCCTAAAATGTAGCCTTGCTGATGAATGAAACGGCAGGACTCTCTCTTCCCCAGCTTACTTCATGCATACATGATCAAGCACAAGCTCCCAAACACACAGACGTGTAGATACTCAGCACATAATTGCTCTATTCTTCACATTCTGTGCCCAACTTTTTGTGTAGCAATCATATGTGAATTATTGCACGTGCTCAAACTCCTGTGTAATGACGCTTGTCTGACGAAAAGTGTGCCTTGATGAATTACAGCTCAATAAACATCTGACTGTTTATACTACTCTGAAATGATTTTTCTCTCCTATATGATATGTAAAACTTTTCCTCATCCTAGAATTCCCCAACAGTAGCATTGAACATCTACGCCTTTTTTAGGGTTATCAAAGCTCATATTCAGATTCATTAGAGTGTTTAGGACCTCAGCGAACCCCTAAGGTTATGTCACACAGACACACACAGCATTTTAAAAGGTCATCATTGATCAGAAAGGTCTGCTAGAGAAGAATATTAATACAATCAGTTGTACTTAGAAATGGTGTACGATAGCACATGAGACATGTCTGTTTGTGAACACCAAAAGCTGTGATTAATGACTTGATCACACAGTGACCGGTCTATTGACAACTTACGTCTTGTGCTTTATTGGAGAAAAGCATTCTTTCTGCTGTGTGCTGCTACCCTCCAGGCTGGATCCCTTCAACACTGTCCCATTGAGCTACACACACACACACACACACACATAGAGTTCTTATATGAACAGTAGTTGTCTGGTCATCATGCAACCCAAGATGATTTGCACAACAACACTGTGAGATGAACTTTCTCCAAAATCTAAAAAGACAACAACAACATTCATCAGTGGATCCTTGACAAGAGATGATGTTTAAACATGCCAGAGTCTTGCTTCTAACCAGCCTCAGAAATGTATACCTTGGTCAGTGTTAAGGAGTAACCGGTTCGCTAATTAGTAAGGTGTTGAAAATCTGCTCCCAGAAAATACTCTGAATAATAAAAAGCAGCTCGATGATGTCCTCATCTGTCTGCACCCTGTAACACTGGGCCGATTAGGGTGTTATTAATGTGCTAAAGGTGGGTTAGGACGAGCTTCACTTATTGCTCCAGGCCATAAGAAACAATAGGTAATAGAGCAGAGAGTTCTAGATGTGTGTGTGTGTGTGCGTGCACGCACACATTTTTGCCTTAACTGTTCTCAGGGCGGCAAGTGAGTGCATCTGTGATTAGTGTGTGTCAATGGCACCGTGAATATTGTAATGGATGAGTCCACCATGGAAGTCCCCAGTGAGAGCCTGATGGTGTATAAAACCAGCTTGTTTCTCACTGCAACCAGACACTCCACAGACCTGGATGTACATCTACTGCAGCACCTGAAAACTGGAATACAAATTGTTCTTTTCAGTCCCATGTTGCTTTGCAAAACTGTGGGTGAATGTGTTGTCTAGATCTGGATGAAAAGACTGGAAAAAACAAAATAGCACCTCCATCTATGTTATCAGTAAGAGGTGTCGAAATTATGAATGGTAAGTGTTTCGCACTCCAAGTTATCGCATCAAAGCTCGTGGGCAGAATCTGTTCCAACAAATACGAACAGAATTGTATTGTCTCTTCTCCTCAGGTCTTCAGCTGTCTCAGAGCTGCGATCTGTCTCTACCCTGCTGCGCAGATGAAGGGTCACTGTCGAGCACAAAGTGCCCCCAGATCAGTGGGGTCAGAGTTCAGCTGGAGATGCAGGCACTTTGGCAGCAGTTTGACCAGCTGGGCACAGAGATGATTGTTACCAAAGCAGGAAGGTGATGAGAATCCTCACATTTATGCATGCTCCTACTAAACATCATATCTTGTATGTTTCCTATTTGTCTTCCTGCACTACCTCTCACTAGAATCTGTTTGTTAACTTGCAGGCGGATGTTTCCGACATTCCAGGTACGGATCTCTGGGATGGATCCCTCTGCCGAATATGTTCTTCTCATGGATTTTATCCCTGTCGACAGCAAAAGATACAGGTCAGAAACACAACCTGCATAACTGTGTTTAGTGTATTTGTGATGTTTAACAGTTGTGTTATTTGCACGAATACAATTCTGCAAGCATCGTTGCTCTGTAAGTCCTGCTTTGAACATTTTACACTTTTGTGTGTGTGTCAGATATGCATTCCACAGCTCATCCTGGTTAGTGGCGGGAAGAGCAGATGTCGCAGCCCCAAGCAGGATGCATTTCCACCCAGACTCACCTGCCCGTGGAGCCCAGTGGATGAAGCAGACTGTGTCCTTCGACAGCCTAAAGCTCACCAACAACCTACTGGATGACAACGGACATGTTAGTGAATGTCTTAAATGAGTGGCTATGATGCTAAACGGATTTTTTTGCACAGAGAATTAACTGAGGAGCTGTAGTAAGGATTATTTTGAATTGTGAATCATGCAAAGCTTCTCTAAAAGATTCCAATGGAGCAGACTTTGAAGGCCAGAAAAAGAGATCATAGCAGTGTGCAACAATAAGTACTAAGCTATTTGTGTTTTCTCATGTCCCCCCACTTCCAGATGATACTGAACTCCATGCATCGCTATCAACCGCGCTTCCATGTGGTGTATGTGGATCCAGCGCCGAACAGCCACTTGAATGCATACAAGAACTTCTGCTCTTTCTCGTTCCCTGAGACACGCTTCATGGCTGTAACTGCTTATCAAAACCACAGGGTACGGAACTGAGTGAAACATGATGCAAGCTAAAAAAAAATTAATGACATTACAATGTTTTTATCTGTTTGATTTTTGATTATTTTTTTTGTGTGCACTAAGCGATTCTTTGCTTTTCATGCCATTTATTTTAACCTCTCCTCTTAGATCACTCAGTTAAAAATTGCAAGCAACCCATTTGCTAAAGGCTTCAGGACTACAGACCCCCAGGCTTGGTGAGTGTCACACTTTCCCTGCACTTCACCTAATTTAATAAACATATCTGTCCCTAGATAGACCAGAAGAAATCACGACATGATCACACTGTTTCTTTATCACTTTTATCACCAGTTAAATAGTGATAAGGCGAAAGTCTTATTGCCAATCTCTGACCTTTGTATGCAAAGAACTGACGTTCATAGATGACAGATTATACATGTCCGGGAGGAACACCTTTGCCTGCCATGTATTTAATTTGTGTGTGAGGTTAAGGTGAACACTTACCTCTCCTCTTTCTCACTATGGTTTTGTGTGTGTGTTTGTAAGTAGGCCGGGTAATTCCAGTCCTCTAGCAGTGTGGTGTCCACCAGAGGGCAGAGCAGAATCTCAAATCGACAAATCTGGAGAGCAAATAAACTGTGAATCAAAGACTTCAACCAGTCAGTATCTTTTGCGTTTTTTTTTTTAACAGTGTTATATGTGGTTAAAGTCTTTTTAGCTCATGGAATAAAGAAATTTTAACTAGTGGATACCTGTTTGAATTCAACCTACTTAATGAAACTGTACGGAGAAGGATTATTTAAGGAAAAGATTGTAAAAACGCAGCCTGTTTGGTGCTTTATTTGCCCACCAGTCCTACAGTGTTTTAAAACTGGATAGGAACAACCAGATTATTTAAATAAGCTTTTGGCAAATGATTTATATTTAGTAGACAGCAGGTTTGGTCTAAATGTTCTTCAGTACCTTTCTAAAGATTTTTCTTCTCCATCTTCAGGGCAGGAGGGCCTGGACCCGCTGATGATGGAGCAGTGTGAACTGTTTCATCACAGTAAAGACTCCATGGGAGGCACGGAGAGGAAAGGTGGGAGCAGTTTTTTAGCACCTGCCTCCTGCCTCCATCTCCCCTCCTTCTGGGACCGTGCAGGGTCATCATGAGACCGCCAATCTGTCAAGGTTCAAAAGAAGTGTTTTAAATGAAAAATGACCCTCCTGTTATATAATATTATGTGATAACTTCACACTGTGTTCACTGTCATTTTTAGTAACTATTTTCCAAAATAATGCCTAATGGATACTTATAATTATTAATTGTAATTATTATTAAGTGTAACATAAAATCCAATGTCTACATGAATTATGACAAACACTGTGAATACCATTCAAGCACTTCAAGGAAATAGTAGTTAAGTGTGTCAACGCCGCAGTTATACAGTTATAGTGTTATGTTATCTATGCAGTTATAGTTCGTCTCCATAGCAATATTTATAAAATCGTGTGCAACGTTTGTAATGCTGTTTGTTGTCTGAGATAATAAAAAAGCACCCCGAAGTTTTGTATGAATGTTTGGTGTGTTTCTGATATTGGAACTGATGCCTCGTGATTTGCAAGGGAGGACTGGTGAAAACTACATTCCCCAGGATGCAATGTTTCTTAGGGACAGTTTCCAAACAACCTGCGAGACCTACAATACCGCGGCTTCAGAATAAAAGACGATATGAAAGCATTACAGGCTATACAGAAAAAATATGTCGAGGAAACGAGAGCGATTTAATTTAAATGGAACCAAGTGTAACCTTTTCTGTTGTAAAACTGAAAACTAAGGAATTATAAAGAAAGTACTGTAAACCAGGGAGCTCCTTTTTAACAACCTTGTTTTAAGTTAAATCCTCTTTAAGAAAGGCGTATACTCCAAGCCTTCTGCAGTGGTTTGACACGTGATGTGTGACCGTTAATGTGTAGTGCTGCAAATAATCAGTGCCGTCTAATTTTAGAACCCATTGGGGTAAAATGTGGGCCTTTCATGCTTTTTTGCTTATGCAGGCGTAATCGGTGCAAATTGTTTTATTTTGAAAAGTATTAGAGGAAATGGTGTGGTTATGTAAGCTAACTTGACGGAGGTGATGCTCGAGCTCTTGCAGCTCTGATGGATGCAGAGGGGTAGATGGAGGAGGAGGAGGAGGTGAAAGACTTGAAGGCGGAGAACAGAGAGAACGTGTCGGGCAGGGGGAAGGATGCGGATTATGGCAGCCTGCCGGCCGCCCTGCCTGTCAGCGGTGAATGTCGTTTGACACGAAGATGCGCGGACCGAACTACGCAGGCCTGCAGTTTGTTGGCTCACGGAGGCACAGACTGTAATTTACGCGTCGGTGACACCGAGGATTGCCTGGATCAGCTGTGAGGGCGATTCATTATTATTTCTTATTTTATGCTATTTGATTTATTACTTATGCTAGTTGTTGTAGTCTGACATTTTTTGGGGTATGTCCCCCTCGACGTGTCATTTAACATGAAGAAAACAGGAGTGAACGCAGAGTGACCTCGTCTCTTCGTGTTTGTGGTTGAACTGCCATCATGCTTTTAGCCGTCATCTTAGCATCCTCACCACCTGAGCTCTCCCCCTGGGTTGCTGCGGACTGGATGTCAAACTGAAGCGAGTGTCGTTAAGTCAGACTTGAACACGACAAAATCAAAACTTTCACCCGGTTTCACCATGGACACGTTACAGCCTCGCTGGTTAACGGGTATATTTATATGGACGACTTTATGTCTGCTCAGCAGCGGTCAAACCGCCCCCAACTCCTCGGGCCTGTCTCTAGCCATCCGCGTGCCACTGCGGCAAGGTGCTCGCGGCGAACAACCACCGCCGCCGCCACCTGCCGCCTCCGCGAGCAGGAGCCCTGCGCGCAGGCGGAGAGGAGCGCCAGCGGGCAGTATCAGCTTCGTGGACATGATTGATAACCTGCGTGGGAAGTCTGGCCAGGGATACTACGTGGAGATGGCCGTGGGTTCTCCTCCGCAAAAGGTAGAGGTTTCATTCACAAAGAGTAATTGATTTGATGTCCCCTGACTCCTCAGTGTGTATCTCATCACTTTTTTAACCAATGAACACGCACCCACTGTAAGAAAATCAATGTAATTAACACCAGGCACACCCAAAAAATCAATATCTTATCCTTAAAACATCCTTTAAGAGTACTCAGACCTATCAGGCGAAACCAGCTTGAAATTATCATTGGATCCAGGGTTATCAATTGGCACAAGACATACCCTGTGATGTTATCTGTATTACACAGTCACCTTAGTGTTGCATCAGTGTGTCAGCATATATGCTCATATATATAGTCTTTGTTAGAGTACGTGTGTGAATCCCTGTGAAAGTGTGAGAAAGGACTGAATGATACGGGCAGATAATGGAACCATTAATTCTGCAGAGTGAGGACTGCCAGCTGGGTGCAGCTGCGGTGTACAGGCTGGCACACAAAGGACGAGCACGGAGGGAGAGATGGAATGAGAGGATCTGCCAAAAGAGAAGGAGGAAAAAGGGAAAGATGGAGTGGGGTGACAAGGACAGAAGAATATAAACAGAGGGACAAGGGTCAAAGAGAAGAAAGTGGGAGTTTGAGAGTGGAAGAAGAGAAAGGAGAAACAAGTGTGTGTGTGTGTGTGTTACAGAGGGAGGACGTGGAAGTCAGACAGGCAGCTTTCAGGAAACAAAAGCAATGAGATGGTGAGGGAGATGGAAGGCCGAAGGTGCTAAGCGGAGGTGTCACTTTGCCACTGATTCTTCCTGTGTCAGTGAGAGAGACAGAGGGTGAGAAGGAGATCTGTCTGCTGCAGATCAGTCCCCGGCAGCAGAGGCCAGTCAGCACTGACAGGCAACACTGTGTGTTGGTGGCTGGAGTGATTGTTATTTATTCATTATTCTAATCTTTCAGCGCAGGAAGCCACAGTCTGACATTAAGTGAAATATAGGAAGCCATGCAGGAAATCTGTCTTCAAAAAAATATATTGATTGTAATTTGAGGAATGCGTCAGAGACTGTTTGTTGGCATTTTCTGAATCTTTGTGTTGCAGACATAACCTTCTAAAAAATAGAAAGAAAACAAAAACAGTGACCTTTGATATGTAGCCGTGGAAGTAAGAAAGAGCATCCAAAATTTAGAGGTGTTAAACGCTCAGTGAGGTAACCACCCACAGAACACTTTTATTTACTTTCATTTCTGTAATATAAATAACTTTAACTAAAAAG